TAAGGGTATTATGTCGAAATATATTTTTAAATTAATTATTAGAAAAAACAAAATACATCAAGTGTAATTACCTTTTTGCCCAACAATTTTATCAGAAATTGGAATGCCACTGCACTCCTAAGCTGCTTACTTCGTCCATCAATTCCAACAATACTCTCGACCACTCTCAAGCAATTAATGTTGCAAGGCAATCTTCGTTACGAACATTATTTACATTATTATGAAAATATGATTTTTTTTAACTAATTCAAAGATTGTATAGTGACGATAAATGGATCAAAGAAGATTCAGGAATCACGAGAGAAAAAAATGTAACACAGATCAATTTGCTTTTAAAATTTCAGGAATCGAGACTCGTCTGACCCCACTTGTATAAGTTCTCACTTCTCAATAGTTAACAATTAGATATCAAACTGAGTTAATAAAAAATAACCTGTCAGCAAGAGATTTTGCTACTTCGATAGAGCTGTCAGGCCATTCTTCATCTCTGAAGAAATTTATTACCGAAAGCATGCCCTCGTTCAGAACCATAGACAGACCGAGTAGTTGTCGATCTAGAAAGAGAGATATTATTATAACTAGTAATTCTTCTGCTTCTTTAGTCGAGAGAATTATATTTGCATCCCTGCACACAAAAATGCAAAACCCGTCACTTATTGGTACTCAATGTCGTTAATCTTTACAGAACTGTGGTGCAATGCTTGATTATATAAAATTTTGTAAATTACAAATTTAATCCTTGAACAAGATCATTAAGAGGAATGATCGGCATTATCACACAAAGTTCTGGCGACAACTAACTCTGCTTAGTGTAGTTTTACTTAGAAAGAACGGCTTAAGAAAAAGGGAATATATGGTTTGTTGCTCTATAATATCATATGCATACCTCGTACGGCAGCAGACACCTGCAAATTTAATCCAAGATCGGATGTTTTGTGGTGGTCCTGCTGTATCCGAATCTAAAACAGGTTGCCAGAAAATGAGAAGAGCAGACAAAGATGAACTTTTATTACAACGGTGATACGACATATTTAAATCTTGATTACAGAGGAACAAGCAATTTAGATCAGGATATATTAGATTAGGGCCTCATATCTCATTTGAATGCATGTATTTTTGGCTAAAAAACGAATTCAAATGCTTACCAGCATTAACCATATCAATATCTGATGAAAGCTTCGAAGGCGAGTCCAGAAGAAAACCATATGCCAGAAGAGCTCTTTTTAGATCGGAATATCTAGGTAACCAGTCAATTTTGATGCTAGAGGAATCAGCCTGCGTAACATCATAAGATGTAAATAAACACAAAATTTAGGAACTGAAATAAATTATATCTCGTTTCCGTGCATGTAAAAAATAACGCAATATTTGAGAGAAGAATGACCTTGTTTTTGAATGAGAGAATAGCGCACCAAAACTCACAGGCAGCTTCCGTCAACCCTACCTTTGATGAATATAACACTGGAATATCGTGAGGAAAGCGCTTTAACAGACAATTTCAACACGTGATTTCACATGATTATACACTCACTTAAGTTAAATGTCCACGAGGCAATAGATTTTTCGACACGACTTGATGCACGTACAATGTTCAATAGCCATCCATTCATCAATAGTCCTTCCAGGAAATTTTCTCCTAGAAAAGCATGAATCTTAGCTTTACCAAATATAAATATTTGACTGAAAGAACCTATATTGCATGAATATAAAAGACGGTATACTGAAAACCTTTCTCGATGTTTAGCTCGACCAGTGAATTGATCTCATTCTTCGTGAAAGACTGCAGGAGAACAGAACTTTTTAGCTCTGGATACTCTTTCTGTGGCAGTATTTGCTGAAAGTACACATGATCGAT